TCTGTCTGCCTTTTATCTGTAGAAAAACTTTAGTCAAGGAATAAATTTAATCAAGAAGTGAGAAAATGGAGAAAGGAGGAAAACAGTCAAGCAAGACAAAATAATACTTTAGCCATTAAACAAAGTCAAGGTTCTTTAGTTCTTCCTCAAGAGCTACAGATAATATTCTGAGCCATGGCCTTTGAGCTGTTTGGCAGATACTGAAACCCCTACCAGGTGGAAAAAGTTAACTGTGTTTTGCACTTAGACTCCAGACCAGTTAGAACCAGAAGGTTGATGATGCTAACTCCTAGTTACCTCACTACCAACCAATCAGAAGAATGTCCACGAGCTGATCACGTCCTGCTCCTTGCACACAGGAAGACTCCTCAGTACTCTCTCCAGAAGCCAGACACACCGCCTTGGGGCATGAGCCTGCTCCGGCGCCCATTGCCACAGCAAACCAACTGCTGCTTTCCACCTACCAGGTGGAAAAAGTTAACTGTGTTTTGCACTTAGACTCCAGACCAGTTAGAACCAGAAGGTTGATGATGCTAACTCCTAGTTACCTCACTACCAACCAATCAGAAGAATGTCCACGAGCTGATCACGTCCTGCTCCTTGCACACAGGAAGACTCCTCAGTACTCTCTCCAGAAGCCAGACACACCGCCTTGGGGCATGAGCCTGCTCCGGCGCCCATTGCCACAGCAAAGCAATAAAGCTGTTTCTTTCTGCTTCACCCAAACCTCTATTTCTGAGATTTAATCCTGTACCACTGTACAATAAGCTGAATTTCAGCAACAATGTTGCAAATGATGTAGTAACTTAAAAATTATTCCCATCCCTTCCCTAGATGTTAAAGGAAAATAAGAGATGTGAATAAAAAATATAGAAGGATAAAAATAATTGACTTGTGATATATTAGCTTTACAATCCTCTCTAGTTATCACTGGTCAATAACTTGGTTTATGATTTTTTTTTTGGCTTATGATTGTTTTTATACTACCTTATAAGTGAAAATCTTCAAAGAAATAATTGATGTTAGAGTTGGGAGATTTCTGTGAGTTTATTCTGGTTCATCCCCTTTCATTTTTACAGCTGAGGAAATTAGGGCCTAGATTACTTTATGCAAGCTGCCCCAAATAATTTTATGTCAGAGAATTAAAATCAACCAAAAAACTATGACTCAGAGCAGGTTATTTGTTGGTGTATGTTCTTTTAGTCCCTTAAAGATGCATATGTGCGTTCCCATAATAAAATTTGCATTATACTTTTACAATAACATATTTTGTGGTTTTCCCACTAAATCATTTTTATTCACATATTTGTTACATATTCCCATATTTAATGACTAGTGTGAATCACAAGAAAATGTGGAAAATTCTTAAAGAGATGGAAATACCAGACCACCTTACCTGCCTCCTGAGAAACCTGTATGTAGGTCAAGAGGCAACAGTTAGAACTGGATATGGAACAACAGACTGGTTCCAAATTGGAAAAGGAGTACGTCAAGGCTATATACTGTCACCCTGCTTATTTAACTTATATGCAGACTACATCATATGAAATGCCAGGCTGGATAAAGCTCAAACTGGAATCGAGATTGCCGGGAGAAATATCAATAACCTCAGAAATGCAGATGACAAAACCCTTATGGCAGGAAGCAAAGAGGAACTCAAGAGCCTCCTGATGAAAGTGAAAGAGGAGAGTGGAAGAGCTGGCTTAAAACTCAACATTCAAAAAACGAAGATCATGGCATCTGTTCCCACCACTTCATGGCAAATAGACAGGGAAACAATGGAAACAGTGAAAGGCTTTATTTTCTTGGGCTTCAAAATCATTACAGAAGGTGGCTGCACCCATGAAATTAAAAGACGCTTGCTCCTTGGAAGAAAAGCTATGACTGACTTAGACAGCATATTAAAAAGCAGAGACATTACTTTGCTGACAAAGGTCCATTTAGTCAAAGCTATGGTTTTTCTAGTAGTCATGTATGGATGTGAAAGTTGGACTATAAAGAAAGCTGAGCGCCGAAGAATTGATGCTTTTGAACTGTGGTGTTGGAGAAGATTCTTGAGAGTTCCTTGAACTGCAAGGAGAACCAACCAGTCCATCCTAAAGGAAATCAGTCCTGAATATTCACTGGAAGGACTGATGCTGAAATTCCAATATTTTGGCCACCTGATGCGAAGGACTGACTCCTTGGAAAAGACCCTGATGCTGGGAAAGACTGAAGGCAGGAGGAGAAGGACGACAGAGGATGAGATGGTTGGATGGCATCATCAACTCGATGGGTATGAGTCTGAGCAAGCTCCGGGAGTTAGTGATGGACAGGGAAGCCCAGCGTGTTGTAGTTTATGGGGTTGCAAAGAGTTGGACGCGACTGAGCGACTGAACTGAACTGAACTATCTAATTGTATGAATGCACTATAATTTATTGACCTATTCTCACCCTTTTTGGGCATTTAGATTGTTTTTGCATTACTGTTTTCATTAGAAATAAAATCTTTGACTTGTCTTATCATTTCTTAAGGGGGGAATTACTAGTTTGGTTAAAGGGGATAGACATGTTAAGCCTTCTGAGACACACTGCCAAGTTGGTAAACCCAGGAAAGTTTTGTAGATTTGCCATAAGCAATAAGCTTCATGTCTTTCTTGAAATCTTAGCAAATTTAGATCTAACAGATCAGTTATTCCAGTTAACTTGGGAGTTCAAAATTTCCCTAGTTTTCATTATTGAAAAAATACTAATAATTATGATGCCATTATTCATTTGAGAAGCTAAGCGGTCTTATCCTTAAATTGTAAATGCATCTGTAAGAGCTAAGAGAGAAATGTATGAATAAATAGATAATGATCAAGTAAGAAATGTCCAGGAGCTTTCCTGTAGGGGTCACTATTACTGTCAATTTATGTCTGCAAGGTAACTAAAATAGTTATGCATTTAAGAATGTAGGCACATTTGCCCGCAGGTCACAACTAGAGATTCCGTGCAGGAAAGGAAAGATTCCCCATGATGCAAAGAAGATCATGCCTGCAGCAACTAAGACCCGATGTAGCCTAATAAATAAATATTAGAAAAAAATAATGTAGGGACATCCACTTTAAATGTCTGATTCCTCTACATTTCCTAAACTGTAAATAATAAGACCTTTGCAGCCAGATAGTATCCTAATGTCAAGTTCTTTATATAATGACATATACCACTCTCTCCACTCAATATGTTCCTTAGTTTGAACTGACTGGGTTTCCCTTGGGGCTCAGCTGGTAAAGAATCTGCTTGCAATGCAGGAGACCTGAGTTCAATCCCTGGCTTGGGAAGATCCCCTGGAAAAGAGAACGGCTACCCACTTCAGTATTCTGGCCTGGAGAATGCCAGGGGCTGTGTAGTCTATGGGGTCGCAAAGAGTCCGACACTACTGAGCGACTTTCACTTTATGTTACTCCTAGGAAAGGTACCCAGGCTTGTTCTTAATAGAGGAAGCATTAACTAATTGCCTAACTCCAAAAAGTGTTTACATGGCACAAGCTGACTTGAACAGAAGGGGGAAAAAAGTCCTTTGCTATGGACAATAGGATCCCCTCCTTGCACCTTCCCTTTTCTGCTTTCCCCGTCAAACTCTCTGCCTTCTGCTTCAAAATGTACACAGAAGACAAAAACCAGTTGTTGTAATACGCATTCTATCGTTCCATTTGGGTACAAAGAGATGCTTTTTAATGTTTAAGTTTTTGTTAATGCAGTTCAACTGTGATCCCAAGGTTCCAGGAGACAGGCGGTCGTCAGGCTTCAGGGCTGGGGCAGGGCACCTGCTGCAAACGGGTCAGCTCTCTCCAAAGCAGGAGTCTTTCCCATCGTAAAATGCAAAGTAGCCAGCCGTTTTCCATTCCCCCGTCCCCGTGGCGTAGGAAGGGGCCGGGAGGATATTTAGCCACCCCGCTTTCGCACTTCTATTGAACAGAACCCGGGGGCAGCGGCTTCTCCGAGAGCAGCGCCAACCGGCTCAAGCCCAGCCGAGGCTCACACAGGGATTTGGCCGAGCCGGCGCTGGGCTGGGGCGTCCGGGAAGCCTAGGGGATCCGTCTAGGAAACCGCGGGGTGCGTGGTGCTGAGGCAGGTTGTGAGAGCCTGAGTTTCAACTGGGCGGAACTCAGCCTCGCCCCTGGAGCGCTCGGCTCCTTTTGCAGCTGGGAGGAGTTGAGGCTGGGAGTTGCCAAACCACACTCACCTGTCGGAACTTGGATCCGGACAGGGAGCGGGGCCTGGAGATCAGGACACGCTGGTTACCGCAGCCTCGGCCTTCCGCGCGCCGGGACACCACGGCCAGGGGGTGTGGGGACTGCTCCCCGAGACTCGAGACGCCTGGGCTCGGCTCCGCAGCTCCCTACTCCCTGCTCTTGCCCCCGGGCGCCATCGACCTGGCGAGCAGCGAAGGCCAGCTCGAGCCGACGCCAGAGCTGCGGGTTCGAGAGGCTCCGCCTCCTTCGGCCACTTCGAGCCACAAGCGCCTCCGGGAACTTTTCCAGTCTGTCTGAGGCTGCGGTCACTGCTGAGGTTTTCAGAACTTTACAGGAGAGGGCTCGCTAGGACCTCTGCCTTCAACCCACGCCTTGTCTGCCGCCTGCCTGGGACATCCCCGAGTCCAGGAGATCCCGCTCCCCGACGCCCCAACTTTTCCCGAGCGGTCTGCGCTCCCAGACTGTCGAGCTCCTGTGCCAAGAGGCGTGCTGGTTTTCGGGGGCCGGCAACGCTCTCTCCCTCGGCTCGCCTTCCACCTTCCCCCGCGTGGGGCTGGGTGAGTCGGGATCTGCGGTGCACTTGAGCGATCCCAGAGCTCCGGATTCGCTCCCGCCCCGGAGACGCCCTTCCAGGAGGGACTGAACCCGGGCGGTCCCGGCCTCTTACTCCGAAACTCGAGTCGGCCCGGGTCTTTTCCCTCCGAACTCCGGTGCCGTCGCGGATCGGCCGGCGGAGCGTCCGGGCGCTCGAGACTTCGTGGCCTGTCGGGGGCTGCGCGTACCATGGCCGGCTGCTGCTGCCTGTCCGCGGAGGAGAAGGAGTCGCAGCGCATCAGCGCCGAGATCGAGCGGCAGCTTCGCCGGGACAAGAAGGACGCGCGCCGCGAGCTCAAGTTGCTGCTTCTGGGTGAGTGAGCGTCTCCCACCCCTGAGCTCCGGGCATTTCGCTCCCGGCCGCTTCCCTCGCCCGGATCCCTGGCTGGAGGACCTGGAACCGAGCGGTATGCTGCTGCGCGGCTTCCTCCTCCTCCCAGGGGCTCGCGGATGACTGCAAGTTGGGCCCTTAGGCGGCAGTCCTTTGCACCTCCAGCTGGGCGACATTGGAAGGCACCCCCTTCCTGACCCCGAACAGCTGAGAGGTAACATTTGACCTCTGCTTTCTCCGTTGTTTGCGCCTCTCCCTAAAGCCTCATCCACCTCACCTCTGCGTCCACAGCGCACACCGCCTCTGCAGGACGTATCTTGGATGTTGGGGGTTGGTGGTGGGGAGCTGTTTAATCCACATTTTGGGTTCATCCTGGCCCCTGCGCTCTCGACTAAGTACGGTTGACTGAGCGCTAACGAAGTGTGGAGCAGCGCTCGGTTATTATGCGCATCGCCGCCCAGTGATGAGGACAGGTGATATCCCATTTTAGAGAATTAAAAACAGGACGCAAAATTGGCGAACTTGCCCTGACTGAGAAAAGGCAAAGCAGATACCGGGTCTGTCGTGGGGGTGCAGCCCAAGCCTTAACCTCTCTCCCCGCTGTGACGGCCTCCGCCTGCCTCCCCGAGCTCCCTTTGGGGAGGCCTGTTTGCGTTAAGGCCCAAACCTCCCTTGCTCAGCTCAGCTCCCCGTGTGTTCCTTCCTAGGGTTGGGACTCCGGTTCCCCAGCCGCTCTGGCTAGTTCTTCATCGGGCTCTCCAGGCGTCTGCACAGATCTAGGTAGGACGCTCACTTTCAAAAACGGAAAGAGAGTGTTAAAAGTTTGCCCAGTGTACGCCTTAGGGCGGGATCCCTTCTCTTGGGACTTTCTAGAACCCTGTTCAGTCTGTTTGCTGTTGAGGAAGATTTACCTTTTCCTTCTTTCATACCAGACTAGCAGCTGTCAGATCTTTCTAGATAGCTGCAAATATTTCAACATTTTTCTTTCCCTGAGAAGTGCCTAACCAGGCCGCTATGCTGGAAGTGTGGGCTCAGGTCTGCAGGTGGGCCTGAGAGGCCACTCTGGGAGGAGATGGAGCCTCGGAGGGGAAGGAAAAGGATTCTGTCCACTGGCCTGGGCTGCCCTTTCATGCCTGGCCCAGAACTCGGAGGGGTCTGAGAATTCTAATGGTACTTGGCCTTCCAGGTTGTTACAAAGCTACATTTGCCAAGGAAAGAGGATTCTGTGACTGTCTCTTGGTGGATAGCACTGAAAAGTAATTATGTGGGCCCCCAGTGTCCTGTCCGAGGCTCCACGAAGATTGGGGCGGGCCAGGCTTTAGCTGCATTGTTGTTGTTGTTTAGCCCCAGTCTTTTCCATCCCTTGGCTGTAGCCCGCCAGACTCCTCTGTCCATGGAATTTCCCAGGTAAGAATACTGGAATGGGTTGCCATTTCCTTCTCCAGGGTATCTTTCCAACCAAGGGATCGAACTTGTGTCTCCTGCATTGCAGGCAGATTCTTTACCTCTGAGCCCCCTGGGAAGCCCTTTAACCGCACACTTTTTCAAGGACAGACCGAGTCCTCTTTCCTTGTGAAATACTTTTTAATCTGTGTCAGTGTGTAAAATTCAGGGCCTGAAATATACCAGGAGCTTGACAAATGAAAATTAAGCAGGCAGCTGACCATATTGTTTTGGTGATAAGACTGTTTAGGGGTAAAATGCTTGATTTACTTACAATCAAACTAGGGCAGGGATGTTTGTAGGTATGTTTTCCCTGAAAGTCGTACTTAATCCAGGTGACTAGAATCTGTTTTTGTACCCGCCAGGCCCTTGCCCTAACCCTCTGATTGCCCCTTTCAGCACTGCCTGACCTCCCAGGAACCCCTTTTTAATCATCCTCAGCTGTGACTAGCACACCATCTCAGTGCTAATCATCCAGAACTTGTTAGCAAGTTGCTATACCACATGGAACTATCCAAAACCCCAAGGATGGACTTTGAAACCTCCGGTTTAGTTTGCTCTGCAAGGGAGCAGGGCATACTTGAATTTCTTAAGACAGAAGAGGAGGAGGCCATGACGCCAAAAACACAGAAATCAAGGAATCCTTTTTTGTCTAAAGTCATGCAGTTTGAGTGAAAATGAAAGTCACCTGAGCTGCTATAATGGGTGCATTAGATGAACCGCTGCCTGAGTACCTTAGGTGAAAGCTGTTTTGCAAATAGGAGTTGAGGATCCCGTGTGGAGGGTGGAATGAGCCAAAAGGCCGCCAGCTCTTTGACAAGGAAGCATGCTGTTGCAACGAAGTGATTTAAGGACATTTCCAAAGTACATTCAGTGGGGCCATATCCTGTTTGTGCTTAATAAAAGCATGGGTCAGTGTCCACAGGGAAAGATAAAACTTGCTGTCCATTTGGGGCTACTATTTGCAAGGTGTCAGCGTGGTACTTTCTTGTGGAAGGAGAAAGGGGAGAAATAAAGGAGATGGCTGAAATTAGTAGAAAGAAATTCCTCATCAGTTCCTCAGATAAACGTAGGACAAAAGAGTTCTGATAAGAACCTGATGAACATCACTCCATGTAGGAAGAAAGTGTCTAGACAATAGCAACGAAATGGGGAGACGTGTGATTTTTATTGATTTTTGGTATCAAATGAGGCTTGGAAAAGTGCTGCTTGTTAATCAGTTCGAGTGTCTCCAGCATCTCTGATGTCTTGATTTTGGATGCAGACCTCCTGTTGGAACTGGAATGTGTACCGGGGAATTGGTATTTAACTCATGCTGGTATAGGGATTAAAAATGTAGGTTCTTAGGTCTGACTGCCTGAGTCCAAACTCTGGTTCTACCCTTTCTTAACTGCAGACTAACTTGGCTCTGTCAGCTAGTAAGTGTCAACTAGCATCATTCCATTTTGTAGCATTTTTGGCCGCCGGGGAGGTGTTATTTCCATTTTAGCTGACCAGTTGTAGGTTAGTAGCAGTTTGTCTAAGTTGTGCTGGTTGTTCTTTAACAAAAATGTTTTGCTTGGAGTTCCCCTTATCATTTTCTGAGCCTTAAGCTGACTTTTAAATCTCTTATTCTTCTTACACTAATGAGTTGAAAAATCTGAGTCCCCTACAGTTTTGGTGCATTGGTTATAACCAAATTCCATGTCAGAACTATTTGTCATGTTCCTGGGCTGCAAGTCTATTTAGGCTTAATGGCTAGGAAATTATTGTCCAGCTCCAGCTTCTCTCCACTGACCAGTTGGCACCAGACATTCTGCTGTAAGCCTTCCTCTGCCCCTTTTTGGTTTATTTATTATCCATGTAAACACACATATAGCTAGGATTGTGTGTGTGTGAGAGAGAGTTTTACCAGTGGTTTTTATTTCATTACTGAATCATTTTGATACTCAAATTGCACCCAATTTGCACACTAGTTCCCGCATCACTCCTCCATCAGTTTTTGGAGCATTTCCTTACTTTTTGGCATAACTCCGTGCTCCAGGTTCATCTTGTACCCCTCTTCTCAGTCATTTCTCTGCTGGGCCTTGATCATTTTCAGTGGAAAACTGTACTTTTTTTTTCCCCTGAAGATAATTAAACACTTGAAACAAAGATGTCAACTCCCCTAATTCAAATCAGTCACCAGTATGTATCTGAAAAACCACATTTCTAGAGTTCTGAGTTAGAGGATGAAAGTTTTAAGGTTGCAATGCTATCACAGTAGATATAAAAGGGAAAAATCTAACAGTAAAGTTAGATGAAAAACAATGTGAAAAAGTCTTAGTCCTCAAAGGGTACTTTTTCCATTTTTAATGGCTTCTAGTCTGTATCGCCTTTTGTTTTCTCTTTTTCTATGATACCTGAATCACAAGAGAAAAGTCTCCTTGTAAGAACTCCCTTGTGTGGGGTGGCAGGGAGGGAGGTGGCTGGACTGAAGGGAGAGAGGAATGTACAGCAAGTCAGCGTAGCAAAGCTATTGTGTTGCTAAAGACAGATTGAAATTCACACAAAAAGAAGGCTTTATTGGAAGGATTCTTACCAGGGCATCTAATGAAATGAAAAGAATCAAATAGTAAAAACCAGGAAAGCAGATGCCATGGCATTCCCAGGGCACAATCACTAACGTGACTTGGCTCAGTTCTCTTCCAAGCTCTAGAACCTTCTGGGCCTTTCTTTTCCCTGTCCTTGAGCCTGCGGCCCCATGTGAGTGAGGGTGTGAACCTGAATCAATCAGTTTAGTTTGGGAGGTGCATAGCACAGACAGAGCTTCATCTGAATGCACATGGCCTGAAGCTGGGTGCCCTGTAAGGCCCGCAGCCGCTGCCGACAGTGTAAAGAATTAGAAGCGAACCAGCAGAAATCCCAGGGTGCTAGAGGTCTAGTGCTCGGCAGGACTCTGTGTGGAACCCCGCCTTTCATTACCACAGTTGGCTCTCTGCTAATGGGTAAATTAATGACTTATCATGTTGGCCAGGGTTCCTGGTTGCAGAAGAATAATTTCACTTAAGAATAATTTATTGGAGGGGAAACAGGAAGCTCGTAATTTGATGGGAATTGAAGAGCAGGCTAAGTGAAAGGGCAAGATCCAAGGGAGTCTTGACACTGGAATCAGGCCAGGCTGCCAAGCGCACAGCCAGAAACTTACCACCCAGAGAGCTGAGAGTCACTGAGGCTGCCCTGGGTGCCTACCTCCACGTGAGTGCAGCAAATCCTCTGTGATCATCTCTTGCAACTTTCTTTCGCTTTGCAAAACCTCAGGCCATCTGATTTTGCCCACGGATTCGATCCCTGGGTCGGGAAGATCCCCTGGAGGAGAGCATGGCAACCCTCTCCAGTATTTTTTCCTGAAGAATCCCATGGACAGAGGAGCCAGGTGGGCTGCAATTCATGGGGTCACACAGGGTCAGAGACAACTGAAGAAGCGACTTAACATGCACACAAATGCGTAGGGAGCTTGGGGAGAGGTAGGATGGTGTAGTGGTGAGAACATGCTCTCTGGAGCCAGCCTTTGTGAGTTT